AGCTCCTCGGGCCTCACTTCCTCTAGACTCAGCTCCTCGGGCCTCACCTCCTCTACACTCAGCTCCTCGGGCCTCACCTCCCCTGGCTAGACCTCCACTGGCCTCACTTCGGGCCTCACCTCCTGTAGACTCAGCTCCTCTGGCCTCACCTCCTCGAGACTCACCTCCACGGGCCTCAGCTCCTCCGGCCTCACTTCCTCGGGCCTCACTTCCTCTAGACTCAGCTCATCGGGCCTCACTTCCTCTAGACTCAGCTCCTCGAGCCTCACCTCCACTGGCCTCAGCTCCTCTGGCCTCACTTCCTCGGGCCTCACCTCCACTGGCCTCAGCTCCTCTGGCCTCACTTCCTCGGGCATCACCTCCACTAGCCTTAGCTCCTCTGGCCTTACTTCCTGTAGACTCAGCTCCTCGGGCCTCACATCCACTGGCCTCACTTCCTCGGGCCTCAGCTCTACTGGCCTCAGCTCCTCTGGCCTCCTCTCGGGGGCACCGTCTCGTCCGGGCTGAACGGAGAAGAACAACGGGGAGGGCAGATGCTTTAGGACGTCTGAGAATAAACAACGTTCTCACAACAAAGACATTCTACCGCACTCTTAACTGGACACTTACTTTTTAACAGACGTAGGCAGTCTTCCCCAGCAGGATATGGACAAATAATCAAAAAATGCACTTATAAATCTATACATGTTTTGACAGAGGACAACATAGAAACAAGAACCCCATAGAATTGATTTCTATATCCCATCTGAATATGAAATAAGCAACATGTGCACATCAGTAGCACTGCCCTCTAGTGGCGGCTCACTAACTGAACAGATGCAAACATGACAGGAAGTTTAAGCATATTGTACACTGTTAAAAGCTTCCAACGCATTGCCTTTAACATAGTAAACATATCAACAATTAGGCTGCTGATTGATTTTGCAAACCTGTAAAACGTTTCAAGTTCCTTGAGCCAGCAATAAGGCAACAGAGCAAGTTCTCCTTAATCCGTGACCCTCAGGTCCTCGGCCCGGGATCCCAGCCGTCTGCTTGGACTTGGACGCCCGTAAATAAGATCCAATTTCTCAAACTGACGCATTTTAGGTAACGTTTAAATTTTCCCCAACAATTCCCATGGCTCGATTTCTAAAAAAGCCATTCAGGATTCCAGGTCTGGCAAAGGGCAGCAGAGAAAAATCATAGACCGCAGAGCCAAAGAGGAGAAAACTGAGATAATGCAGCAATAAGAAAACTAAACCCATTCTAGGATAAACTCATTGCTCACGATTAGTCTGACTATGTTGCTATCAGACTATTAAATGTAATGGCAGGATATGGAACCATGATTCCCAGCCTGTGCTTGTATTACTCCGGCCTGCAATCGTGAATGTGTCCATGAGGGGAAAAAAAGAGGTTCTGGGGATTACAGTCAGACTTTACGGGAAAAAAAACACCTCCCAGATTGCAGCTTGAGGATCAAGACCCAACGTGGGAAACAGAACTGTAAAGAAAGATTTGCGCAGCAGATCTGACCGTCAGTTCCAACACCGTTTGTGAGGTTGGAAGGCGCTTTAAGACGTTCCAGCCGTCGGCGTGTTTGACTCTCAGATTCAGGGACTGACCAAAATCAAGTTCATAATGATACTGTTCTAAATGTACTCTACACCTAAAGTGGAGCGCATCATCATGCAATTACAAGCACTTCTTAAAGGAAATTTTATTTCATGGTTTCATAAGATTCTTGAAAAAAAATAATATACACAAGAGTAACAAATAAAAAAGTCCACTGTGGGAATTATTTTAGCAGAAGTAAAAGAATCCGACGCCTCGTTGACCCGGCGATGTCTGCGCCTGTAAAATGTGAACCAGCAGTCCGTCTAACGGACGCTACGTCCTGCTGGCGATCCTCTTGGACCTCCTCAGAGCGGGGGGCTGCGTCTCCTCGGCTGCAGCCTCCCCGCATTCTGCTCGACTCGGATGGTCCCGTCGAGGGGCTGCGGCCCCCGCAGCCTTCCTGCTGCCTCGCGCAGCCTCTCGGGAGCTGGACTCTTGCTCCTGGACCTTCTGCGCTGGCCCTCTGGCTCGCTTCTCTTTGGTCTTCACGCTTCGGCTCGCGTCATCGCCTCCCTGGTCGTCTTTCCCGCTGGTCCGACTGTCCCCGAGTTTCCTCCTTGTCGATTTGCTTTGGTTTGTTGTATCTTTCAAATGCTCTATGGATTTAGGAGCTTTTGTCCCTCCTTTCCCTCGGCCCCGCACTGGTCTTTTAGCGGCTTGCAGTTCCTCCGACGCGTCTTCCGCTTTGACCTCTGCTGCTTCCTGGGCGCTGACTTGTATTTCAAGAGCTCTATAGACTTCCTGTAAAACAAGTACAGCACATCCACTCGAGCTTTACACCAAATGTACATTTAAAAACAAGATCAAATCGGATTGTCACCTCCTGCTGTGCGAGTTCGGACTTGAGGTCTGATAACAGGCTCATAAATCCCTGTATCTTCAGCTGTAAAGCAGAAAAGATATTTAAGAAATATGACATCACGAAAGAATCAGCAGTTGAAGCCGCTCTTACCTGCTCACAGGCAACTAGTTTCTCAAGCTGCCCTTTCGCCTGAGCCTCCTTCTTCCTCCTAATTTAAGGAATCTGTTAATGTTTAACCGTGTATACATAGTTTCCCTGCAATATCAAATGCTACTTCAACTACGCTGTATATGGATATTTTGACAGCTTCTCGCATAAAAATACAAGGTGGGAATCCATTGCATTGAAGCTAATCCTCAGAAAATGATTGTTATTGCAAGCTGTAAATTACTTGTTTGCCACCATCTTCTCCATGCGAGTGAGCTCACGCCTCTTCTCCTCCTGGGCTCGGTGAATGTTATTCACGGTCACCATGGCAAGGAGCGACTTGGCGTCGAGGTCCGTTGTCTCTGCGGAGGGCGACGTCATTTTGAGGACCAGCTTGACCCACTCAGTGAGTTCCTCACAGGATGGGAACTGAGTGAAAGACGACATGTTTATCAGGATGAATGAAGCTGCAGAGTTCTCACACACACACACACACACACACACACCAGATTTTCATTCATGCGATCGTGGACCTTGATGAAAATGATCTTAAAAACGCCTGCGACACACATTCAGTGAATATTTAGAGAAAGTTATGGGTTCTTGTGCCGTTGTATCAGCTACAGAACTACAAGGAATCGTTGAGTGCTTGCTCAACCCTCAATAAGATGTAATCACAAATTGAAAAAAGGTGCATGTGAGCATGCCCCGGGGGCTGCCATGGTTACTTTATTTAGACATTCACCAAAAAGTTCCCCGTGTGCACAGGATCCTGTTCATGGTCTTAAAAACTCACCTTTTGGAGTTCGGCCTCTGCTTTTTTCTTGGAAGCCGACGCCAACTCCAACGGCATCATTTCCTTTTTTAAAGACCTCTGCACTTCCTCCAGATCTCCCTGAGGACGGGAAAAACACCAAAGCAATCAAAGTGAAGAGTGCAATTGCAGTTCAGCAGCAGCGGCGAGAGAAAGACGGAAATTACCTGCAGTTTCTTGAGAAGTTTCTCTGCTCTGATCTTTTCCATAAACTCCAGGTCCGTTTGTGTCAGCTGATAGCCCTTCATCCCCGTCAGCATGGAGTTTGGCTCTTCTGCTTCTGTTGAGCGACAGGAAAAATCCAACCGCTACTTTAACATTACTGTATTTTAAGTCATTTGAAAGGGAGCAGCATATACCAAAATACTGTATTCATTCACTTGGTACCTGGTTTCGTCCCAAAGGCGTTGAAATCAAACGTTGTGTTTTGGTTGTCGTCATCTTGCCCTCGACCGCCAGCCTGCCGGCGAGGACGAGGGAGCCGATTACAACCAGCAAGACAGAGGATGCGACGGAGACGTGCAGGGAGGACACACACACACACACACACACACACACACACACACACACACACACACACACCTCCGCACTCTGCTGCAGACCCTCGTTGGAGTCTTCGTTACAGAAATCCAGCTGTTTCTTAACACTCGTCAAGGGAGGCGTCCTGGGGAGCTGCTTTCCTGAAGGGATGTAGTTGAACGAAAGACGGCCGTCTCTCAGAGTCTCTTCCTCTGACATGGCCGACGTTTGCTTGGCAAGCAACAAGCTGCGGCGTTCTTCTTCTTTGGTGTTCAGCAGCAGCTCCTCCTCCTCCTCCCTTTGCTCGGAACAGGTGGAGTTGCTGTCTTTCAGAAATCACTGCATCATTGTTTTCACCTGAGGACCAATCGCTCCTTTCGACCAGTAGATGGCGACAGATTCTTTCAGTTGAGCACGTCGTTTTAGAAAGTTTTCCCTTTGCACTTGAGATTTTGTTTATTTATCAGGTCACAAAAAAAAGTGAATAAAATGTTACAAGTAAAAAACTATCCACAGTTGAAAGTGAAAAATTACCCTTCATCTTTTTTTAAATAAACTGCCTCAGTCTAATAGTTCCACTACTAGACTGCCACTATAGTACTTCTGCTCCTATTCTGCACATAATATTAAATATCATTAAAAGTATGTTAACCCAAATAGTGTACTTACATTTCCAGGTTGTTGTTTTACGTGTGTTTCAATAAACGTTGCAAATACTATAATTTAATTACAATGTGGCATTATAAGACAGTGACTAACCCCGGCGCGCTAAAACAATATGCTTCTCTCGTTAAATGTCAGCATTTCAAACCCTTTATGGGTCAAACCACCAAAAAAACAAACAAATTACAAACACCTCAAACAGCTTCGACAGAGAACACGCTCAAATACAATCAGGACTTTGACTTGTACTTGAGCACTTTCACATTGTTTAACTGTCCCTTTTACTTATTGGAACAACCATAAAACACAATTAAGATGAAAATCTACGACATGACAGTGACATCAGCACACGACGTAGAGGAGAAGCTCGCGCTCGTCCGTGTTCTCGCTCTGGTCCTGCTGCTCCTGGCAGAAGGACAGACGGACAGGTGTGCAGACGCACAGACAGATGGACCCCCGTCTATCTTTAAACTGAACCGCCGGTCCCACATGTCCCTCCAGGAACTCTAGAGGCGAGTGCTGAGTCGTAAATACCTCTGCCTTTAACCGGCCCGCTGCCATGATGCCGAGGGAGGGGAGGGGGACGAGAGGTCGGGGGGCGTTGGGGGGCGCAGTGTGTCTGCGCCTTCACTGAAATCACAATTCAGCTGAAAAGAAGAACTGTTTACATGTCAATTTGTCTTCCATAACATCTAAAATGAGCATTTAGGCGATTTCTCCTAGAAATATCGCGTGATATCGCCTCATTTGCATATCCAGACACAGAGTAACATGAAGCTGATCAGACGAAAAATGATTCTCGTGATGTCAATTTTGTACTGATATCTATTTTATCAGTTGCGCTTTCTCTTCTTACTTTCCATGTTTATAAATCACCCATTTTCAATAGATGTTCTAATTGTTTTCATCTCAGAGTGATAAGAGATTTTCAAAATCCTCTCTCATTTCAGTGTATTGGCAAATGAGAAACAAACAACAAAAAACATTTTTAACCTGGGCTCGTCCAATGTTATGATTTCTGTTCTGGAAATGAAAATTTGAAAATAATTACACACGTCACACATTTAAAGAAAAGAAACATTATGATACCAATAATTACTGTTTTATTAAAAGTTAACACGCTGGGCGGTTTCGTGGTGATTTCTATTAGTTCCACTTTTCTCCCCGTACTGTCTGAGCTGAAACCCAAAGATGTGCAGCCGGGGTCCAATCCTAGCTTAGCAACCGTAACTAGGCAATTCACAGCTGCTCAGACGGGCAGCGGACAGGTCGTGAGAGGCACCGATGGAGGAGGTGAGTGAGGACAGACACAGGCGTCCACACTCACCGGAGGAATAAGGAGTTTGGTACAGAGAGTTGGCATTGTTCGCATTTTTAACTGCAAGATGTAGGCCTGCAAAGCATAATAATAACAATAATAATATCTTATATAGTATATTCTATCAGCTGAGGGGGTCCAGGAGGAGAGCCAATGACAGCTGAAGGATTCTGGAGTCACATTCACACACTCGTCATTCCTTATTTGGTCACCTTGGTCTGATATTTTTTATTGTCCAAAAAGAACAGAATCCTTTACAAGCAGTTTATTTAAGCTCTGCGTGCCCTCTGGAGCTGAACAATGCCCGTGATTCCACAGTGGCTGTGATGTCGGAAGGGCGCTGCCTGTGACTCATCAGTCTCTGACTGCATCACAAAGTACGGTGAGATGCACGGTACATTTCTCTGGTGCAGCCCCACCCCACAACCAGGAGGAAAGAAAGAGGAGCTCCACAGATGCTACGCACCTCGGGGAGAAGTACTACGTGTGATCGCCTCGGGTGATGTCACTTGAGTCAGCAAGGAACATGGAACTAATCTGGGGCAGTGGGGTCAGAAGTATCTGCTGGATTGTTACTTCGACTGGCTTTACACACCAAAGTATTTTTGCATTGTGGGTAAAGAAGGTGCCATGTTTAATGTTCCAAGTAGCAGTGAAATGCATCCGATGAGTTTCTCCGATAGAATTTATTATGTGACACATCATATTGAATGCTAGTAAACTGAATGCGTGACGGAGCAGTTTTAGGGGCCATTTTTTCTTTATTTTCCCCACCAACAACTGAAAAAAAAGAGCCCTCATCCCCCCCCCACCTCCCCGCTCTGTCCTCAGGGACAGTCACAGACTTGCAAGGGCTCAGGCTGCTGTCAAGTGCCATATGGTACCATCAACGCTCCATGTGCATGCGTCCCAGTGTGTGTCTGTGTGTGTGTGTCGGAGAAGGGGAGCAGCTCAAGGTGTCAGAAGGGAGGGTGGTTTAAATTTAACTGCTACGGAGCTGAAACACACACACACACACACACACACATACACAGCAGGTCCACCGCTCTGTCAGCACACGCTCCTCTCCTTCTCCTCCAGCTCATCAGACCACCTGGATTGTACGAGAGGCCGGCGGGGGACGCAAACGAAATAGAGAGAAACCCGTCGTGGAAGAGAGGCGAGCACTGAGGAAAACGCTCCGGCGGAGGCGGCGGGTTGGAGACGCGGCTGGTGGCACCGCAGAGGCACGACAGCGCGGCGGGCTGAAGCTTCGCTGTGAGAGGTAAGACCGGAGCGTTGCTTTGGGAGGCTGTGCGTGGCCGAGGATGTGTGTGTGTGTGTGTGTGTTTGTGCTCAGACCCCCACAGAGTCCCATGTTCGCTTCCTGAGGCAAACATGCAAAAGGTTGCATCAATGTGCGTTGAAGGTTAGTCATTTTAGAGAATCACATGAAAAACAAATCACTGTGGTTTAGTTTGTGATTATTGCTTTTTTGGGGACTATATGTTATTTTTCTGTTTGTCTTTATGAACAATATCTTACAGTACAGATGCACGGAGATGTTGTGTGGATATACAGAACACTAAGTGAGTGCTAAGTAATCTGCCTTCTGGCAGCTTTTCTCCAAGGTTGTCTCTAATTAGAGAGAGAGGGAGATTAGACACCAGAACAGAGAGACTACAGGAGGCTCTGGGGGGTCACAGGGAATGTCTGTTGATCTTATTTTAATCCAACTGGATTAGATTTGCTGTAATTGTCTTGAATATATTCGGATAGAAGACAAAAGATCCAAACAAAAGAGTCTATTGGTGTTTTATTTGCACATGGCGCTGTGCCGATGAAAGCACCCTCGCTGAGCAGTTTAAACACGATAGGGACGCGGCCCGCGGCCAATCTGCCCACCACATCAAAGCCGAGGTGACGATTCACCGACCCTCTCCCGGCTGGACGGGTGGAGCGGCTGCAGCCAGGGAACTTCCCAAAGGGCAGCGCGACAGCTTCCACGTGCAGGGAGGGACTGGGTCAAGTTACCAGGCCGGCACTTGTGTCTCAGTTTGGAAAAGCACTCTCAGTAAACTGGGACGCAGGCGTTTTCTCCGCCTTTGCTTGACGTGTTCAATGTGTTCGGCCATGATGTGTCATCGGCAGCCATTCAGGATGACGGTTCCTCAATGCACGAGGAGACACCCCAGCCCGCTCTAGCTTTAAAAGGCTCTGGTTTGGCCTGTGACTGGAAGTGACAGGTTAATCTGTCTAAGTGCGTATCATAGCGGGCGCAGCCTTCTGCTGGTCCTAATCTGCCGTGAGCCAACAACACGGCGGCTGACAAACTGATGGATCAGCAGGTTTAGAGGGAATGGTGCCTGGCCACGGAGGCTCAAATGTGACATTTGTGGTCGCTAAACATGACCGGGACTCAGTGACTTTCACAGCAATTTAACCTCCACACATCATTCAGATAAAACCATTCTCAGTGTTGTATTTGTATGCTTTCATGTTCTGCAGCAGAGCACATTGCTGCAGGCTCCTTTTGTTTCAGCCTGATTGACAGTTTGAGGGTAGTGGGGCAGAGACACGCATGAAGGCCTCCTGGCACCTTGAGCTCAGCAGCTGCAAGTCGGATTAGAAGATCCGGCTCTGAGGATTCATCAGGTTTGATGCATTAATGGGGAGAACCTGGTGCCGGCGGGTAGAATGTGTGTGTGAACGAGTCAAAGCAAATCTCTTCTCGTTTAACCCGTTAAAAAACGTGAACAAGCCTCATCCTCATGGCCGTAATCTCGGTCACTGGTAGAATTCCCAAAACTTCTCGTAGAGACCGACTTTTTTACTTTACTTTCTCACGGTTTATTGCTCTCGTATTCCCATCATATGTTGACAGAGCATCCAGAAACATGCTCCACAAAACAGTCACATGATACGAGGAGGGCAGAAGCCAAGGGTTGTAACTGTCATTCCGCAACGGCCCCTCGTAACCACCCGCGGCCTCCACGAGTGCCATTAGAGAATAAATGTGCACCTTTATTCACAAACACGTCATTGAGGGATCGGCTGAATATAAAGAAAAAGAGACCAAAAAGCTCTCAAACGGCAGGTTGATTGAAATGTTTAGATGTAGAAATATTGAATAGCGTTTGTCTTGTTAGTTATTATACTCTTAAATAACTACAAAAAGGGCCACAAAACGACATTACTATGAAGTGCTTTCAAACTAAAAATACTTCAAATATACATTAGTATAATAATTTGGACAGCAGCAAACTAAATCCACATGACCCTCCGACAGATCTGGACCACACGATTCAAAATACCCAAAAATCGGTAACTGCAGCAAGTTATTATAATTACAGTTAAAAAACACACTCATCTGTTGCTCGGAGATAAAACGTGTTGAATGCATCGAACAGCCCTTCCTCTCTGGTGAGGTCACCCAGTGTAAGAGCAGCGATGACGGAGGGACACGTGGTGTTTGGCTGCAGGAACAGTGGCTGGTTTGAGTCCCGAGGATCCTGTTTCTCTCGCAGGATACCAGCGGCTCACAGCTCTGGGAAAAGAGCCCTATATATACCCAGAGAGAAACGGACTATGTTCTCCCGTATTAGTCTCTCCCAGTTTGATGTGAAGTCAAAATAAGTGCAGTGATATCAGCGTTTGTGCAGCGGGCTGGTCTCCGATAGACCAGCTGGAAGGACCCGTTCCCACGTCTAGCAACGCAGTTCCATTATCTTTGTGTTGAAACGTATTGCTGACCCTCTGCTCCAGGTGCATCAACAATTCACGTGCATATCTCTGAGGCCTTTGCTGCGGCGGACTGCGGATGCGAGTGAGTGATGAAACATGGAACAGCTATCACAAGGAAATGATAGCGGGACGCTCAAATGTTATGTGCGACAATGCAACAAAATGAGAAAAACTCCAAACGCTTTGAACTGGCTATGAACTGGCTATGAACTGGCTTTGAACGTTTTACTGGTCCTTTAACAGCAGTGAAACAGCTCAAATTGATTTTGTGTCTGTCCATGTTTTAAACGTTTTCCCTAAAAACGCAACACATGCTGTGACAAGAAGAACTTAAAGAGCATCAGACACACAACTTCAAATGAGACTGTTCTACATCACTAATCAAAAGGAGAATCAACCAAAAGGGTCTCAAGCCAGTTCATCTCCGAACACTAATGTCAGTCATCCTACATTGCTCCAATTTGCCAGTCGTCAGCACCTGCGTAGCTTTTATTTAGTGCCCATGTTCTTTGTTAAATATACCGCAAAGATTCCTCTGCGAGCGGTTTGACAGGTTTCCATGATGCAGCAGCACCGGTCGGGGATCACGTGCACGATCAAGTCCTCAGCCGCTGTTGACTGGTCTGCATGTCAGAGGGATTAACATCCAACGCCGTGGAGTTCTGCTCCACTTTATGTCCATTCTTTGAGGAAATACCACTCATCACATACGATGTTTCAATTTTTTGGTGGATACGTCACAGCTAGTGTACGGGTCTGGGGTCAGAGGTCAAATACTGCACTTTGAAGCGTTGCAGTTTGGAGCGGCCACTTAACTTGAATGTAGCTTAGCACAAAGCGTACAAACAGCTAGCCTGACTCGGACTAATGGAACAAAATCTCTCCAGAAGTTGTTCATGGGGGATTATGTACCAGACTAAACCGTAGAAGGGAGCCGTAACCTCCAAAAAAGAGAGAATATGATATTCACACCTTTTTGTTAATGCATTCATTTAATGAGAGAGCTCGACTACCTTTGTCCCCCCGTTTCTAGACTTTATGCTGAGCTAAGCTAAGCATCTGCTATGTCCTATATCCTTACATTTTCCAAAGAGATGTGAGATTGGTATCTGTCTTCCCACCTAACTCTACAGAAAAGAAACGGCTCCAAATGATGGACAAATACCTTTATTATCGCCGTCTCCTCCCCAGATGAAGTTGTGAAACACTGATGAAACAACATTACGGGCCTTACTAAACCTTTTGTCAATAAACTCCTTACAGACCTCTAAATCATGCCAACGTCAACAAGAACATCCCTGCTATTTCTGAAGATACCCCCCCCCCCACACTCCCCCCAGGACTCGGCTTTAGCTGTGAAATACTTGGCATATGTAACATGATTGGATAAAGTGACACATGAGGCAGCTTGATGCTAAATATGCACCGGAGAAAAGACTGAACAAGGACAGCCCTGCTGGCAGCACTCGTCTTTGAGCTTAAGCCCCATTGTTGCCCCACTCTGTGTTTGCTGTTGCTACAGAAACGGACCCAGCTGAGAGGAGAAGGCGTAGCATGGCGCTGTGCCTTTGCGTACCTTTCGCATTCGCTACACGACGGGGTCAATTATCAGCCTATTCTCTGCTGACCCAGTAACATTTCCCCTGCTCTCTCTTACTCAAGACACACGTAGAGAGCAAAAGGAACAGAGGAGAGTAAAACGGGGGCGTCACAGTGGTGAGAAATGTCCGCGGTGCAGCGCGGGACAGTCCATTTACCCGTGTTAGTCCGGACACTGGAGCTGTTTGGGTCTTAAATGGCTGCGATTGGTTGAGAGCGGATAGCAGGGACGAGGCCCTGGGGCTTGGCAGTGCATCGTGTCGGCGAGGTCGCGGGAGGGCGCATTACAGCACATCTGCCAAGATGACCACGCAGACTGTGCAGGGGACCAAAGCCACGGTAGTGCTCCGGAGTGTGGTGTCATGGCAGGAGGAGCCTCGGCTCCGTGTAGCTCATCCGGAATCGACAGGATTTTATTTCAAAGCATCCTGGCGTTCTCTTTTTTAGCATCTTTCCCCCTGAATCACCAGTTTGCTACAAGTTATAGTCTACAGGTTAAACTGCTGACGATGCACCGATATTAAAATCCCCTCACTTCCCCTGAAGATATGCGCCGCCAAATGATAAAATCGTGATTCCTGACATAAAGTCGAATGTGACTTAAAAAAAAATCCTGAAGCATGACTCAGCACACATCTTATTGAGGAGGTTGCTGGGCAACCGGGCTGGGGGGCAAACCTGCAGGGACAAAAAGATGGAGGAAAGCAGAGCAGAGCCAAAATGTAATCATCATCATTTTTGGTATTCTTTGATTAGTCCATTCGGCACAGAGCTGGTCCTTATATGGAATTAATAGCTGTGCTCTCCCATGATGCAGATGATTGTGCTGTAAACACTAACATCTGGAAGATGCAGCTGCAGACCCACATTACTAAACTTCCTTAGACGTCGGTTTCTTAGAGTCTGGAGGTGGTTGAGAGACGACTCACTGCTGTTGATGCG